ACAAGGTGAAATCTTAATCCTCCTTTTTTTAATCATTGGTATTCAGAGGCCTGCACTGCCTGTAATAGCTTGTCAGACATTAAATGCAGCAACATTTGCAACATTTACAGAACCTCACTATCATCCCCCAGGAATCGAATGCATCATTATGTTCGGTTGTAGTAAACATTCTCTCATTTTTCAACTAACATCTTAGTCTTCATTAGCTTCATAACATCAAACAATATCATACATAAAGGGGTTTACAATATTAACCTTGAGCTTGATGTATGTTAGTTCACATTCTGTAATTGCATTTGTCCAAATTAATATACGTATTACTTACATTGCCCCCCGAATTTTGCATAGTATTCTGTCATTACGTCTAACAGCGGAAAATGAAATTCATTTGAGAAAGAATAGATTCTGAAAGGATGGAGAGCATAACCAGGTTAAATTCTGACAGCCAAAAGAAAAGAATAAAACAAAAAACAGACAACAATAGTTACATTTTAGCTAACACCTACAGATGGAGACACAGTTGTGATCCTCATGTCATCATTCATTTGACCATTACCAATCGGCCATGGCGCATTAGCCATGAAGCTGCAAGGCCAACGAAAACTACTGAAGCCCTCCACTATGAAGAATGTGAACCACATAGTATTCAGCAAAAAAACACATCCATTTGGCTTCACAGGCAGTTCAAACCTACTGATAGTGGATTGAACCGAGAGTGAGGGCAAATGCAAATGCCTGAAAATCTGTAGCCACAAACCTAGCACAGTGTCACAAGGTCATTTAACCACACACATTCACAAACAGGCACATGTACACTGAGCAACAGTGGCGGTTTTTGATACGGGCGACACGGGCAGTTCCCCAGGGCGGCATCGTGGTGGGGGGTGGCATCACGGGCATCGGCAAAACAAAAAAAAATTGCTCATACTCATGTTGCCCCGACATCAGCGCATATTGGGAATGGTACAGGCACCAATCGGTTTTCTATCGCCCATTTCCTGGGAGTAAGGGCACCCTCCGTATGTGAGGTGCGCTTGCTGCTTGAGGTACAGGGAGGAGAGGGCGGGACGGCGGGGGATTCACTGGTGGCTGGAGCAGCATCTAATAACCAACTCGCAAAATAAAACAAAACAACAAACACGAAAACACCAGACATTATGATAGAGAGGGATCAATAACAATTTAAAATTTGTATTTTATATTTTGATGATTTAATGTCTCACACACAACCCGTGGAAAGGGGTTCATAATGTTGTAAATCCAAGCCCATTGTGTATTCATGATTTGAATCCTGGGTTGTGTGAAATCCCAGAAATACACCTTAGACAAAGTGAATCTGTGAACTATAAGGTGTAGGTCTATTAGGTTATATTGTGGCGATCCTCGAGTTGGGGGATTTGTGTTCATACTGGAGTCCAAAATTAAAACCAATGGAAAATGGACAAGAAAAGTTCAAAGCCATCAGGTGCTCAGTTTAGAAAAAATAGAAGAGAAGAGGAGGAGAAACGAGCAAAAGATACAGGTAAGCAGATGTGTCATTGGATTATGGGAGGTCATGTATCCTGAAACAATCAGAATCAGAATACTTTATTAATCCCTAAGGAAATAATGTGGATTACAGTTGCTCCAAGAAGAAATGGTAAATTGTTCATTTGACCTGTTCTCATTGTATGACGAATTATGATGGCTGTTTGGTAGCCGTTTGCATACAATGCATATTATCCCTCTCTTCATGTGTGAGTGCATGTGTTTCTCTGGTGAATTTCGACAACAGTTTTATGTTAATGTACAATCTTTAATATGTTTTATGTGTGTGTGTGTGTGTGTGTGTGTGGGGGGGGGGGTGCCAGAGGGAGTGTTCGCCCAGGGTGCTAAACAGGCTAGGACCGCCACTGCTGAGCAAAATAATAATAATTTGACCAAACATCCCACGCAATACTCTGTAAATGGCATTTCACAAAACAAAATGAATTCCCTTGAGAAATTATGCAAAGCGTATTGAACCACTGTATCGCCGGCTCCGTTCTCAAGCGGTCACACAATCAAACAAATAAGAAGAAGAAGGGTGATGCCAAGACAGAAAGCAATTCTTCCTTTTTTCCTGAGTAGCCTGTCAGATGATTGAGTCATCCACTCCATTCCATTCGAGGCAGCTTTCCATATTTGAGTGCTTCTCGGCATGGACACTTGCTGCACTTTAATTAAGGTTTGCTATGCATTATACAAACAGAAAATGCTTAAGAGTGCAGAAAGGCTCACATTAGTTGAGCTTTTTTCCCCCTCATTCAAAAAAAGTCTTTGCCAGTCAACAGATGGTATTTATTAAAATCATAGACAGCAAAAGAGGTCTATTGTGAGATTTATTTTTTTTTCTTTTAGTGCCCATTGGCAGTCCATTAAACAACTGAAACTGTGTGCGAAAATCCACTGAGATACAAGGAGAGAGGCATGGAATTAGGAATGTTTGTATTATTCATTGGCAGCCAAAATCCAATGCAGACTTCTTCTGATCATTAAATGAAAAGTATCTCCAGCAAAGTACTGTAATTGCCTCACAAAAATTATCTGCCTCCCCATCCCCCTCTTTCATGATCTAAACACAAGTGCACAGAACCAATTCCAGTCACATGGTAACGGCTTTGATTATGAACAATATGTTTCTTGATGTTTCTCGGGAGAGATGGTAGCTCAGAGGGAAAAGAGTTCAATGTGTGAGCTTGTCTGCCAGAATGAACCGCTTTCAAGCCAGCCACCTCTGCCTGTCATCTTCCCTCAGACACAGAGAGAAGCTGTCTGTCATCTTCCCTCAGACATAGGGAGAAGCAGAATTACTGGGGCACTCAAATGCACATGCCAGAAATTGGGCCAGTGCTCAGTAGTGACACTATTTGTGATTTGCATATGAATATGCTGAATGAAAAAAAAAATGGAAAAAAAACTAGACCAGTATTCCCTTTAATTTCACAATATCTGACTTGGCCCCTCTGGGGCCTAAGTGAAATGATCAATGTCCAAAATTAAACAGTAATTGCCAGCCCCATAATGAAAATGGACCCCTAATAGATATTTTTCATCAGCAGAACCTGCAGTGCAGGATGCAATTACCTGGAGTGTTTACAAGCCATTTCAGCACCATTTTTTGCATTTCCAGGCATCAAGGCTAAGGTCATTATTTAACGGAATGAGTTTTAGGTGGAAAAATATCCACATTGATGTCTGAATCACACAAAATTGTATTATTCAGTTCATCAGTGTAGATGGAGACATTGCCAGCACATTGAAATTATAACCTTTGCAAGAGAAATACCACTCAATTTGAGAATAAATATATCTTTGCCTTGTTGTCTTTATTAGGTTTGGTTTGAAACTGTAATGTTAATTCGCTTTTTTTTTTTAATAGTTTCCATTTGACTCTAGGAAAATATGATGATTATGAATACTTATTTAGAAGTGGCAAATTTCTTGCACATGCATATAAATTCAAAAGAAAATGTTAATTTGCTCCATGTTCAGTGCTGCTGCAAATCAATGTGACCTTAAAACTGAGAGAAAGGGTCAAACTGCTATGTCATTTGTGACTGGAAGGCTCAGTATAAGGGCATTCATTATCCCAGAGTGGTTTGCCATTACTCCATATGGGAGTTGCATATATTACATATGAAATTCAGTGGTATTCCTCTTTAACACAGAGTGAGGAAAAAACTGCAAGGGTATGCGCCCAGAGTTACATCCATGGAGATTATCCCCATTAAATGTCAAAGACTCTTCATATTCAGTGACAAGTTTTAGCATACAGCATATTCTCTTTTGGCAGCTGTTCCAAGGACTCAAATGACAGAAAAGATTGGGTTTGAAGAGGCAAACTTTAAATATTTTTTCATGTGTTTTGCTTATAAAAAGCATGACTATATACACATATAAAAACCTTTGTAGAAATAACCACAAATAATGTCTTAAATACAAATATGCACATGAACAGTGGCTTTAAAATGCTAACCAGTCAGACGCCTGATGGTATAAGATGAGAAATTACATTTTAGAGAAAGAAATGTACATTTTCTTTATTTTTTTATTTTTTTTATTTTTTTTACTTCAGAATCTCTAAATCTGACCAGTCAACATTTCGCAACCCAATGACAGGGATAAATGCAAATTTTGCAAAATGGAAACTTTTTATTTTCAAAAAGCAACAGATTACACAGTTAACTTTCAGCAAATGCAATCCTAACTGAAACTGTACTCACATTCGGGACTTCAAAATGAAAAGACTCACATACTTACACACAATCTATCTATAATATACAAAAAGAATACATAATAAATATTAAAATGGCCACAAGAGAAAAAAGTAAGTCACTGAAAACAATCAGTAGAGAGCAAATGTAGGGAAAGTAGAAACAAGACGGTGTGCCTTAAATGTCTCTCTTTTTTTTTTTCTTTTACATTTTTTACAAATTGTGCAAGATTTCATACTAAGGCTCTGGTCTTGAAGTGACTGTTGTCTGATCCACACACACACACACAGAAACACACACAGAATCACACACTCTCCCTGTGCTCTGAGCACTCTGTGGGGTGTAGCAAACCATTGCAGAATAAAAATGGGCTGCTCAGTGTATGGCCTGTGATGCACATGGGAGTGGACCAGCTTTTAAAAATGAACATGCACTTCACGCTAATGTGAAAAATAGGAAGAAGAAAAGAAAAAACTCCCCTTGCACCTAAAGGGGGGAAAAAAAGAAAAAAAGAAGAAGAAGAAGAAAACTTTTCAGGAGTGATTGAAAAATAAACCCCAGAAACATGACAATATCATAACCATTAAGGCAAGAACACCCGGAGTGGCATCAGCAATACTGTAACAATGTGATAGTGTTTAGGTACATGGATATGATGAAACATTTAACTACTTCTTCAATGTCTTTTTTAAGCACAAGGTTGTTTTCAAAAGCAACTTTTTTTTTTAAAATTCCAAACATCACTTCATCTTTTTTTTCCTCTGTTTTTTTTTTGTTTTTGGTTTTTTTTTTTTTGTAAAATGTGTTAGGAAAATAACAATGCCAGACACTAGGGACATATGGATAAAACTACAAGAAATCCTTTCTAGATTTTAAGTTGCAACTTCAAAACCACACATTGTAAATCCCCCATCATTAAGCCCCCTGCCCGGTAAATGAAAGAGATATCACTTACATTAAAACCATTTTATCCTCTTGTGATGGTGTAATCCAACAGTTTTTGCTCTACTTACAGCGGTTGTGTAGTCTGTTGCAAATTAAAGCATTCATTGTTTAGTTTGGAGGGAGAGGGGGGAGAAGGAAAAAACAACAAAAAAGTTGTCCTTGCAATGCAACTGTCGACCCCCCCCCAAAAAAAGCATCTTTACATCTTCTTTTTAGTGCAACTCTTAAAATGTAAAACATTTCCAGTGATTCCTTGAGAGGTATCATTTCTTTGTTTTGTGTTATTATTTTTTTCTTTTTCTTTTCATACTTACGTATTTCACACCTCACAGAATAACGTGTCTTCAAATTATCCCAAGCAAGACGTCTTGTTTTCACTGTTTTGTCAAATCGCTCTCTCTTTTTTTTTTCTTTCAACTTTTTGCATCTCTGCATTGGCATGGCCTTCCACAATGTCTGTTTACTAGAACATAAACACAGGAGGTGATCCATTCCCCCTGCGTTATTCCCATTCCCTTCAGCCTCCGTGTGTGATACGATTTAGATTCAATCGCCCCAGCACAGCCACGTGATTGGCAGTCCACCTTCAACCTCTGTAAAGAAGGGCCAGGAGAAGGAGGAACAGGAGGAAACTGGAGGATGAAGAGAAGGGAGATAGAAAGAGAGAGTACGCTGTACAATGGGAGCAAACCCAGATCAAGATCAATCAGGGCAATAGAGACATAGATGAGAAAAAAAACCCTCATATAACACAGTAGGGTTCCCTTGGTAACCTGGATTTTCTGCAGTAGAGGAGTGTGGTGCTGAAGCAACGCCGAAGCTCTCTGTTAGAGAAGATGCAGATGAAAGGATTGACCCCAGCCTGGGCAAAGCTCATCCACACGGCTGCTGTCAGGTAGCCTCCAGGGACAACGGGGCCCCTTGCAAACACCCGCCAGTAGCAGGCAACCAGGTAGGGCCCCCACAGTGCCAGGAAGAAAAACGTCATGATGTAGAACATCCTACTAATCCTCTTCTCGGTTTTGAATTCATCCAATACCAGTAGACGCCTGCGGCCCGCTGCATTGCTGTTCTGCCGGATGCCCAGCAAAGTAGGTGGGGTGGGGCCTCTTCCAAATCCAGCCAGCCAATTAGCTGCCGCTTGCCCGCTGGCACCTGGGCCGTGGAAGGTCCAGTTCTGGCTGACGGCAGGCACGAACTGGACGGGCTTCATCTTTCGACGGTCGTGGACGAAAAAGATGAGCTTGAGGTAAACCAGTTGTGTGGCCAGGAGGATGAGCGCCAGCAGAAGCATGAAGCCCAGCGAATCATTTGCCCTGAAGGAACGGTGCTGGAATGTGCACTGGTCCTCCTCCCGGATAAAAGAGTACGTCCCTACATCTAGCACCGGAGGGAACGCCATAGCCACAGACAACGTCCACACCATGCAGATGACAGCCAAACACGTCCAGAAAGTCAGCCTCTTGGTGTAGAAACGGTGGTGCGCGATGGCCAGGTAACGGGTGACACTGACACAGAACAGCATGAAAGCCGTGTGGAAACAGGAGAGCACACCCAGGAAGGCGATCACTTTGCAGGTCAACGTGCCGTAGGTCCAGGCAGACCCATTCTTGACTGAGGTGAAGACAAAAGGGAAGCAGATGGCGGAGCGCAGGATGTCAGAGGCGCACAGGTCCAACAGGAAATAGTAGGGCGCTCGGTGCAGGCTCTTGTCTTTGACCAGCAGGATGGAGATCAGGAGGTTTCCGACCACACCGACTCCAATGATAAAACCCAGAGAGGTCAGTTTGAGGAACGTGGTGAGAGGAGAGACATTCTGCAAGATGTTGTGGTCCCCTGCATGGCTATAGTTCGCCATAGATGGAGGAGGGATCATAAAGATAGCGGAATAGCTTCAGCCAAGTATCATGATCTAGAGGTGGCAGGGGGAGGCGTTAGATCCATTTGGCGGTGTGCTTTGAAGAGGTTTCCAGGCGTATAGGCAACCTCTCCTCTAAGGCATCCTTTGTTCCTTTGTCTCATCACACCTAAAAAAAAAAAATCCCTGAAAAATACGTTCATCCCATCAACATTCAGTCCCATACAAGAGTTAAATTACACCTGTACCATTTATACTCCCATGAACATAATTTTCCTTTGCCCTGACGATTATTTAATGATTTAGTTTTTAGCATTTTGAGTGGCTCAGTGCAGAACTCTGCCTCAGCCTGAATACTTTGTCTACTGAGAATCACACAGACAGTAAGCGAGCTCGATCTGACTAAAGCATCAATGCGTTAGACTAACAGAATATTCTTTCACGTCGCTTCCTGAACAAAAGCAGCACAAAGCCAAGAAAGCACAGTTGAGGCTTCATTAACAAACGACTGAGTTTTCTTCTTTTTTTCTGTCGTCTGTCGGAAATAAACGAGTGGCAAACACACACACACACACGCAAACAGATCTAGGCTTGGATTTTTTTTTCTTTTTTTACATTTTCAGCGCACTGTGAAACATTAAGACAAATGCAGTCCAAAAATAAGCTCTTCTTGATCACACCCTACAGAAGAGAGGAAGGCTCCCTGGATCGGTGGATGCCTCGAATAAACTCACCCCAACCTTTATGCGTTGTGGTAAATCGACTGGTAAAGGGTGCATACAGTACGCGATAAAGCGCCCCCCTCCCTTTTTTTCCCTTTCTTGTCTGACTAAAGGTTAACTGGATTAACGGGGTCTAACGTTAATAAGCGGTGTTCTCATCAGGGCTTCTATGGAGCCAGCCTCCATTTTTTTCCCCCCAGATCATCCTTTGTTACTAATTACAAAGAGTTAAGCGAACATAACGCGTAACACCCGCTCTGTGAGCCACATCGGCGTAATTCTTTTTGCAATGCACGGATGCGATAATCAGTAGGGCTGGGTTGAAAAAAGGATGGGTAAAATGGCACTAACAAAGCCCGTTGGTAAAAAAAAAAATATTATGGCGAGCTCAATTCCATATATATATATATATATTTGGTGGGGGGAAAATTGCATAACATATGCTCCATTTCGTTAATAAGTACGCTTGTGTCTACTTACGCATTTAAATGTGTCCTCCGTGAGTCGAGTGGTCTCTCTCTTTTTAAATGCGCGTTTGAATCCGATAGAATTTAGTTAAACACGGAGCAGAATTAAATAATCGCCTTTGCGTCCCAGTCGGCCGGATGAAGCACAACGGTGTAGCGGATCCGCATGTCCATTATACTAGAATAATTTCCAAGTCTCCGCTATGGTTTGGCTGGAATCGCATCCACCACACAAGACAAGGCCAAAAGAGAAAAAAAGATGAGAGAACGAGAGAGACAGTCGACCATAAGATCAACCAAAACCCTACCTGTTGACAATCCAATTTCGTGTCCCTCCTGATCGCTATTTACATTGCACAAATCGTGCTTTTCGCCGTTTTAAAAAGCCTGCTTTGTTGCCTGCCCCCTTTTTTTCTGCCTCCACCGTGAATATCCTACAGTAAACGGAACCCACTGCGCATGCGCCCTGCATCCCCTATTTGTGATCCAAGACGCGTCTTGTCTCTTGTTGCAGCAGCGGCGGCGGCGGTTAACAGCGTCTCTCTCTCACGGTAACATCTGCTCAGCGGTGCCTGCTGCTGCTGCTGGCCGGTAACGCGTTACAGCCACAGCTACCCCCCCCTCCTCTCCCCTCCCCCGCCAGGCGGGTTCCCCTGGTAACGCGCAGAGTAACGGATCGTCAAGTGTCTACTAAACTAGATTCTTTTTTTAAGGATTGATTCACATCAGCTTCTTTAGAATAAAACGTGTTTTTAACGTTAAAAAAATTAAAATGCGCCAGGGTTTTTTTTTCTTTTTTGTTTTTAATTCTTATTATTTTAATTTCAACCCAATTTGACCCCTTTCTGGATTCAGACCACAGCATTGCTTGATCCTGTTTGCAGACACAGTGCAGCTTTGCAGTGGTCGTCATCCTCACTGAGGGAGCATGATAAATTCATAGGATATTTGATTTCTCAACCATGTATGGGGACATGTGATGCCATGAGAAGTCTTACAACTGAATATTGTGCACAGCTGGAGACTTACATACTTGCATGCTTCAAACATACAAAAATCCTTGGTGTTGGAATCATGAATGAATAATTACCATAACATAAAGGAAGCATGTTGCTATTGGTAACTGATACAAACTCTGTACAATAGGGATATCTGTGGAGTGGGGGGAGTTTTTAACCCTTTATGGAGCAGTCACATTTCCTTTAAACCACACATCACACGTGTGGTAACTTATCCACCATTACTACATGGACATATTTACATTAAGCTACAGGCAAAGTTTACTTCTTGCCTTTAAAAGAAATTAATGACATTTGCTAAAGGGCATTCATTTTTATAAGGTCCCATTTCACTGCATAATAAACTAATTTAATAACCTAATAATTTAAACTGTTGGCTGTGGTAAAGCTAGTTTACATCACTAGTTTATTCCAAAATGAATTTAATATATATATACACACATAATGCTATATATTATTATAAGAGGTGTCATGGTGGTTAGCATTGTCACAACAAGAAGGTCCTGGGTAGAAAATGGACTGATGGTGTGACATACTACATAAACAATCAGCCTCATTTTATTTATAGTGTACATATCTTCATATATGAAAATTAAGGGGCAGTTTTCAACAGCATGCCACAGTTTTTCTTCATGATAAAGAAATCTGTCAGCATGACTCTTTGGACTTCCATTGTTACTGTTGACCCACTAAAATTTCGATAGTACATTTAATTACTTGGTGTCACATGGAAGGTCATTTGTGAGTTTTCTACAAGTAGGAAAAGCTGTAAAACTTCTAAAAATACAAATATAAGTCCAAAATCTATGAAGATTGAAGCCTTTGCTGAGCCAACTCTGCTCCCCTGGGCCTTGTATTTAACATCCCTGCACTAAACTTTCAACACACTTCAAATATATGTTACAACATGGAGTGACAGGCACGCCAGAGCAGTAATACAGGCTGCAGACGACAGATTGCAATGTTTACTCTCCGATCTGCTAAACCCGGTTCATTTAGTGGAGGATCTGTTCAACCTGAATGCAATGAAGCACCGTCTCCACACACGAACATAAGTTGTTAAGTGTCGCGTTTATTCTACATGTTTAATTAGCAACAGTGACAAAACTGCAAAACACACTCCAATCATGTGACACTGCGCTTCCAACAGTGACAGTCACTATAAGCGCAACGCGTCAGGAAATCGCCTCGACAGATGGAAAATATGCGCGAAAATGTACATAGTGTGGGCATCTTAGGGAGCCTGCTACAGCTGCAGAAGTCTGTTCATAGGGAAGGCAACAGTGTTTTTGCTCATTAATAATAATCATGTCAGCAGTGCAACGAGCAACAGTTCCTGTTTGCTTCCTGGATGTTACGCTCCACCTTCTTCAACTCAGCGTGGTCCTCGTTGAACTTGCCGCATTAATCCCAGTAAGGCACGTTTCTTATCAGTCTTTAAGACACAAAGCCTGTGCCACAAAAGTCCACGGGTGATCACGCAAAATTGGTATTATAATGTGGTGGTTGGTAGCAGGTAGCAGCTGGAGAATCCCGTCTCGTCAGCGTCACAGCTGTCCGTTCCGCCTCCGCGCGTACCAGCCGAGGCAGGCACAGAAACCCACCACCGTGAGGACGGTGCACAGCAGCAGGGCCAGACCGTCCCCGGCATCGTAAGCCTCTGCCGGGGGGATCAGGGAGAAAAACAACAGCCCGACCATCAACGCGGCGCTTGGAAGTTCAAGTTTGGGAGCCATGTTTCGCTTTTTCCGCGGTTGCAGTTTACTTTCCGGAAGCTGGAGTGCCTGCGTCAAAGTCAGATGACAGATTCGGAGCGGCCGGACTTCCTGGTGCGCTCAGCCAATTGCAGAACTGCTTAAACTTAGGCTGATGTTCCCTCCCCACTCCCTCATACCCGCGGAGATTCATGCAGTTGCACAAAAACATGATTCCAAAACTCGTTTTTTCTTTCTTCCTCTCTCTGTCAGAGAGGCAAACAGATCCCGAATTCTAAAACTCTCATAGTTATGCTGTAATTAGTGAATTTGCGACATTGTTCTCCTTATTAGTGATGATTAGGCTAACAGGTTGTCAGAAACAAAGTACCTTAGATCAATCTGAGGCTTGTTATTCTTCTTGAAGACAAGACACAAGCACATTGGATATCCATGCATGCTGATCATGGGAAAAACAAAACAATCCCACTGGAATCACATACAGAGAATTTAAACTTTCCTCATCCGTTTTCACTTTTTCACTCTGGGCTTCAAAAAATATTCCACACTTATCTCCAAGTCCAGCCTGGCTGCTTGATTTGCCTCACTACTCCCCTGATCTCCCTGAACATGTGAAATTGCTTCATATCAGCCATGTTGCGGTGACTAAACAAGCCAGCATCTCAGCTCATGCTACAAATTGTTTGGCTTGTAAGAACCGTTGGAGGGGGGTGGGGGGTTACAGGGTCCATAACCGTCTGTGTGTGCTCTCCCGAGGCACTCTGCCTGTAATTTAATTAGCGCACAGGAGCCAAAGTAAAATATTGACCTTGTAAGGCTGCCATACCTCTGTACCTGCTGGTATCTGAGTGAAGAGATGAATGGGCACAAGTTCCCCTCGGTGCACTCTTCTTGCTTTCACATTGCACGCTCTCTCACCTGCTCCTGCTGTCTGTTTGGCAGTCTGTTTCGCACACACGCATACAAACTTTGTGAGTCCTGTCTGATCTCTGCCGCTGCCTTCAGCAGACCACACGGCAATTAAAAGTTACAGATTCACATCTGAATCTGCTGTTTGTTTGCTCATTCCTCTAACACATATGATCTATGTTGAGTAGACGCAGTTCTTTCCCCTGGATTCCACTGATAATTGATCGATAGGAGGGTTACAAAATATCCAGAAATGAGTGTTCAACTAACGAGTTTCACTTACTTAAATATTGTAATAGTTAAAAAGCATGGATAAGATAGATGTCTCGATCTAGTTCAGTGCACACAGCCACAATCATTTATAATCTGTTGACTTGACAGTTGTCCAGATCACGATAGCCAAACTTTTCAGCAATCACATCCTGTGTAAGCCACAGGATGTGATTGCTGAAAAGTTTGGCCTTGTGCAGAGTGCTGTACCTAAGCATATTAATGAAAATGTGACTGGAAGGGAAAAGTGTGGCAGGAAAAGGTGCACACGCATCAGGGATTTGGCACAGCCTTGAGAAAAGTTGATTCAAAAACTTGGGGGAGCTTCACAAGTAGGGAAGACATGCATCTTTGGGAAAGGGGTTACAACTGTCGCATTCCTAATCAAACCACCCCGAACCAGCGACGGCATCAGAAAGTAAATGACATAAAAGTAAACACTGCAATTTGAAAATCTGGAGGAAGAGAGGAGAGATACAGAATTCAAGGGTTTTGAGGTCCAGTGTGAAGTTCCTGCAGTCTATGCTGATTTAGGTCACCTTGTCATCTGCTGGTGTTGGTGGCGGTTTGTCCACTGTGGTTTATCAAGTCCAGACTTCAGCTTTCTACCAGGAGATTGCAGAGCACTTTGTACTGCTATTGGCTCACGCGCTTTATGGAGATGTTAATTTCCGTTTCCAGCTGGGCTTCCTTCCCACATTACCAACACTACCACCTCATCATCTTATCTTATTGATTGGCCAGCCAACTTGTCTGATGTTAATCCCACTGGAAATCTATAAGCTGCTGTAAAGAGGAAGAAACACTCAACCCAAAAATGTGGACGGGCTAAAAGCTGCTGTGCTACAAGCTAATCACCTCCATACCACACTCCACTGATGATGAACATGATTTCCAGAAGTTAGACATCTCTGTGTTGTAAATCCTTCTTCACTGATCTCGGAACTTTGCATGTAATAACTATAGAATGTATGAATTTTGAATACAGTCAGAAAAAACTTTTATAACAATGCTGTTGATTTTGTGTCTTGTATCAACATCGGCTGGGCAATGCAGTGCTGGTCAGCTTTCGTGGTGCTGATTGCAACACATTTTAATCCTGCAACTTTAGTTATTGAACTTCTAGTTATTCTTGGTCTTACTATTGCTAGTATTGGTCTTAGACTACGTCCACATGTACACGGATATTTTTGAAAACGCAGCTTTTTCTATGTGTTTGGGCCTTTCGTCCACACAGAAGATGGCTTTTTGGATCACTAATAAACTGAGATTTTCAAAAACTCAGTTTTTGCGTTTACGTGTGGACGAGGTAAAGGAGATTTAGTCACGCAATGTCAAAGGTGTGTGCCTGTTTTGAGGTCATGCTGTGCTGATGTTACTGTTTGCATGAGAGGAATTTCTACAATGGCGGACATAGACAAAATACTGGTGCTGTTAATCTTACTATCTGCAGTTTTTACACACTCACGTATACACACACAGTTACTGTCCCTCCATTTAGAAAGAAAGAGGCGTCCGACTGAACTTTGGATGTGACTTCTACATTCAGCGCAGACACTAACAACCCAAATCCCGATGCAAATGTCGTCATCGGTTTTGAATAAATGTAATTTTTTCAAATTAAATTTATGCATGCAGTATGCATTTTGTCCATTCCTAGGTTGGGAGTCTACACCAGCCATA